GCATAGGAACTCATAAATTTGGTATTCAGGATAGACGCGGCGGAGACTAGAGATAGTTGGCTGACAGTAGGTCTGTTTTATCATAGACGTAGTCCATCTATCAAAGGCTTGACATTGAGAATTACCCAGGGGCTTTACCCTCGAGTGTGGGAAGTGACGTCTCGAGTAGCACACAGGGGATGGCAGAAATCGAATGAAATACTTGAACTAAGGAGAGAGCAGACGGAGCTTCCGCGGCAAAAGGGAAACCTAGATAATACCTAGGAAAGGAGGAATGCATAACAATATTGCAGACACTATTCAACAGTCCCAGCACAAGGGTGAAGGGAGGTGAGAGTGCTGAGTATGGAGAGTTTTCGTGACAGTCGCTTAAAAGGGCACACCATACCACATTTAAATAAGCCAGTAAAATATTGTGATATTGAAGCCGTGATACGAGGATATAGGATTGGCGAATGGCCTAGGAGGAAGGAGAGATATCACTATTGTTTAACAGACAATTGGTCAAAGGATCGGCCTCATTTGTCTCCTTGACGAGTTGTAGTGTTGTGTTAAGAATAATGAGACTCACTGACGATGCCGGCGAAGCGTCTGGGAATGTACCACGTCTACTGTCCGACTTTGGAAATTATCATGCATACACTGGACACCGGACTAGGTGGGTTCCACTAAGTCTTCCTACCAATATGTGATTACTAGGTCAAACAACTTATATACTACTAAAGCAGATCACACAGGGCAACTCCATATTTGTCTTCATACCTTTTATTCAATATATTCATTTTATATTTTTCCCTCCGTTCAATTTTTATTATTTTTTTACTTCGTTTGAATTGGCTTTTAGGTGACTCAATTTATTTACTTTTTGTCTAATCTTAAATTAACCCCCCTACTAGAGGTATTTTTAATCTTATTACTTGCTTCCCTCTACATGCGAAAAATTTAATCCTAATATTTGTACATAAAACGCACGTTATAAAACAAAAGACTCCTTGAACAAAGCTTCTTACTAAATAAGCCAATCGTTTGCCGGCGTAACGATAACTTTTATTATAGTGTGATTTAGATAATTGAAATATTTTATTGAATTTTCCTTTAGTTTCCAAATTGTACATGCTTCAATTTCGAATTTTAGACGGAGTTTGTAGCAGCATAATAGACCTGGCCTCTATTCCTGCCGTTTTTTTCGAGGCTAGCTTTTCATTGAAAGACAACAAAGTCTGGAGTGCCGTGGTGCCAACCACCTCGTCACATACATTTCGGCCAGATAAATCAGGAATACTTCATCATATGCCTACGACCGGCTCGATTTGGCTAGAACATTCGACCTTTCGTCGTCATATTCCGTCAGAACTGCGCCAGAAACAGTTTTCACAGTTCCATGCTTGTCATGAACGCCTGACACAGTGTCTTGACACCGTAGAATTGGAGATCGTAAAACAGGTGATCATTAGGCGGCTTTATTTACACTGAAATTATTTCACCAATGCTTCTCCGCAGTCAGAAGACGTATCTTATCCTAAATTAATCAAATAATTGTGGGTATTAAGAGCAAGATGTGGTGGCCTATTTTTTTATGACAATCTTTTTTCGATGTGTAGAAGCGGTTTGACCTCGTTTTCGCAACTTGGTCGTGACGTCTTGGAGACCTAGTTCAACGCACCTTGTCTATATAGTAATGTATCAAGTCTATGGTCCGATGCTAGGATTTTATCCTAACTACTTTAGCAGAGAACTTCATATAGTGGCACAGGTCTATTTAATTTCTGGTAACACTTGATATTTTTGGCAGAACAGATGTTTCAAAATTTATCTTATAGATTAATCTACTTCGGTGAAGAGGAAATCACGATTACTGGAATAAAGATGTGCTCACAACATTGTGTCCTGACTAATGCAATTATTTATTGCTGATTTCTGGAAAGCCGAATTTTTTCATTGCGACCATTAGCTTAGCTAGCGACGCTATTTTTTTCGACAGCTTATTTTGAGCAACTTTTTGTTGAATCTTGTAGCAACTCATTTCCACGT